CCATGTCACCATACCAGAATCATCATCATCATCACCAGCAGCATCATCAACGAAAAGAGGCGGGTCTCACGCGAGATGGCAAAGCGACCTTACGTGGCACGGCAGGCGCCACCGAGTGCCGCCTCACGGGGTTCGACGGCCATCCTCCTCCTCCGAATCCTCATCTTCACCCTCATCACCACCACCACCATCAGCATCAGCACCATCCAACATCATCACTACCAGCATCAGCACCATCACCATCACCATCAGCATCACCATCAACATCATCAACGAAAAGGTGCGGGTCTTACGCGAGATGGCATAACTACCTTACCTGGCACGGCAGGCTTCACCGAGTGCCGCCTCACGGGGTTCGACCGCCATCCTCCTCCTCTGAATCCTCGTCCTCACCCTCATCACCACCACCACCATCAGCACCATCAACAACATAATCAATACCAGCATACACATCATCACCATCATCAGCAGCATCACCAACATCACCATCAACGAAACGAGGCGGGTCTTACGCGAGATGGCATATAAACCTTACGTGGCAAGGCAGGCGCCACCGAGTTCCGCCTCACGGGGTTCGACCTCCATCCGCCTCCTCCGAATCCTCATCCTCACCCTCATCACCCACACCACCATCAGCATCAGCACTATCAACCACATCCTCAATACCAGCATCAACATCACCACCATCATCAGCATCAGCACCAGCAGCATCATCAACGAATGGAGGCGGGTCTCACACGAGATGGCATAGCGACCTTACGTGGCACGGCAGGCGCCACCGAGTGCCGCCTCACGGGGTTCGACGGCCATCCTCCTCCTCCGAATCCTCGTCCTCACCCTCATCACCACCACCACCATCAGCATCAGCACCATCAACACCATCATAAATACCAACATCACCATCATTACCATCATCATCAACATCACCATCATCACCATCAACGAAACGAGTCGGGTCTTACGCGAGATGGCATAGCAACCTCCGGGTCAGCATCAGCACCATCAACACCATCATACATACCGACATCACCATCATTACCATGATCAACATCACCAATATCACCATCATCACCATCAACACCTCAGGGGGTTCGACGGCCATCCTCCTCCTCCTCCTCCTCCTCCGCATCCTCATCCTCACCCTCATCACCACCACCACCATCATCAGTATCAGCATCATCAACAACATCGTCAAAACCAACATCAACAGCATCATCATCACCATCAGCATAGTTTTTTATCTTTCGACCATTTGAGGGGATGCTTTGACTAGTTTTAGTTCTTCCTCCAAAATCCCCATGTAGGAGGACAGGCCCGACCTAAATTCTACGCGTTTCTTTTGCGCGTGCCATCGGAGGCGGCGCCGGCGGTATTCGCCGGCCCCTGGCTCGCAGCTGGGGGGGACACATTCCCGGCGGCGTTCGACGGCTCCCCTTCGTCGTTGTCTGGCGCAGCGCACGGATCCGAGGCAGGGCGGCCCAGCGACGAGCCGCGCGCGCTGGCGCTCCGCTTGCGCAGCCACCTGCCCAGTTCACGTGCTCGGCTCGCTGCCACCTCGGGGCCGGTCGCGCCCCGGCCTGCGCCCGGGCAGCGCGACCACGGTTTTCGGGGAGTGCCTGCGCGCGCGCGGCGTGCCGGACGCTGGCGCGTTCGGCGCGCGCGACGCTCGTCGCGGGCGTGCGCGCGACATGCCGCGCAGCGGCGGTCACGTAGCGCGCCGCGTTGCTCCTGGGTTCTTACCTGCCGTTTGACCGCGCCGAGTCCGCGGCCGTGCTCGAAGCAGCGGTCGCGGCGAGCGGGGGCGAAGACGAGCAAGACGCAGCTTGCGCCCGTGCGCTGGCACGCCGCGGGCGCAGCCAGGCGCCGGCGGACATATCGGCGCGTTCTGCGCCTCGGCCGAGGAGCCGAACGTGCGCCGCAGCCGCGAGAGCGCTCGCGCACTCCGAGTCTCTCGTATAAAAGACCCTGCTGGGCTGCGTTCGCAAGCTGTGCTGCAATCCGCGCGCTGGGTCGGGCAGTGGATGCCGCGCACTGTGTCGCGCGGCGTGCAGCGCGGCGCCCTCGAGCTGCGCCGCGCTGCCCCGCTGCGCGCCACGCCAATCTTCGGGGCGCGGCAGCGCCTGGCAGGCAGATTGGCGCGGGGAGCCCCACACTGGCACTCGTCAAGGGGCCCCTGGGGCATTTGTGTTGGAGCACGGCGCGCGCGTTGTGCGGAGGCACGGATGCCTTGGGGGGGCCCGCCACGCGTGCGGTTTGCGCGGCGGCTTGTGCGGCTTGCGCGGTCACGCGCGCGACGCGCGGGAGACGGAGGAGCGCGCCACGAGAAGCGCTGCGCCTGCGTCGGGCGCGCGGGGCTCCGGGCCCAGCCCTGCGCAACGCGGTGCAGGGCGTGCCGTTCTTCTTCCCCGCGTCCAGCCATGCATTCCTTGTGTACTTCGCTCTGGCGTCGGGCGGTCTTCTCGCTCCCGCCTCGCTGTGCCGCGCGTTTGCGCGCGGCCGCGCGTCGTCTGTCGGGTGCAGCCACGCCCGCGGATGGAGAACGGAAAAACACGCCTCGCGCCCGGCAACCTGCGCGCACATTCGTCTCAGCATGCTGCAGGCGATGCCCCGAGAGGCAGGCCTGGCGGCTTTCAACACGCAGCTCTCGCCTTGCCGCATCACCTCTCGCAAAACAATACACGAGAATGGACGCGGCCCGTGTTGGCTCTCGGGTCTCCGGTGGCCGTTCGGGGTGATGCGGGCATCCCCAGGGAGCGCTCTTGGCGAGGCGCAGCCGCGGGAGCGCATCCCGAGGCAACAGCTCCCCCAAGAGCCAGCGAGCGCGGCCGAACGCCCCTCCAGCAAGCGCCCCCGGAAAGCTCTGGGCTTCCTGGACGAGGGGCGGGCGATCCGCGGGGGGGGGGGGCGAGGCAGCGTGCACTTTCCTTGTGGGCCCCGCGGGGGCACTTCGGGGGGCACTGGGGGGCCCCTTTCAAGCCACTTCTCTGCAATTGTTTCGGGCATGCCCTCCTACAGGCGGTCTTTGGCCGAAAAATAAAGCATGGTGTAAAGAAGCTCGAGGAGAGTCAACAATGGTAGACCAATCATCCCCGGACCACTACTTTCTGACTACTCTTGCATACTCCTCCCGTAGAAGGGCATGCCCGACTTGACGCAACGCTCGATCCCCAGCGTTTCTTCCGCTTGCCCCCCTCCCCCCCTGCCGCCGCCCGCCCGAGAAGCCGCGGGCACCCCGGGGGGGTGCTCTTTCGCCAGACCGCCGCCCTCGCACGCGGCGGGCGGGCCCCCGCGGGGTCGAGCGCGGCTTTGGGGCCCGCGGCCCGCCCGCGCGGCGCGGGTCATATGACGTGTTCTGGTATAGCGACGGCGCGAGTTGCAGAGCAAGCTCTGCCCTTGACGAGTGGGCGACTTCTTGGCGGCGAGCGCGAGGGGGGGAAAAAGGAGAGGCGGGCCTTCTCAGGAGGCTCGGGAGTTCCCGGGCCCGCCCGGTGAGCCGTTTTCTGGACCTTCCCCGAGGACAAGACAACGACTTCTCGGAAGGCGCGATGGCTTCCGAGAAGTCCGACCGCCTTCTGAAAAAGCCTTTCCCCTTTCACTTCCCCCCCCTCGCTCGCCGCCGAACTCCGGCAGCCCCGAACCCAAAAAAACCTGCTCATCTCTCGGGGGCGCACCCTTTGCTTCCACCGCCTGCCGCCGGCGTTCCGCCGGCCTTCCGCGGGCGGAGGCGGCCTCGTTCTGCTTCCGCCGCCGCCTGCCGCCGAGGAGGAGATGGCAGCTCCTTGGGTCCTCGAAGGCAGGGCCTTTCCTGGAACGCCACGAAGGGAGGAGGAGGGGGAGGAGGAGGAGGAGGAGGGGGGAGGAGGAGAGGAGGAGGAGGAGGAGGAGGGAAGGGGGAGGACTCTCCCTCCTCCTCCTCCTCTCCTCCTCCCCCTCCTCCTCCCCCTTATCCTGCTGCTCCTCCTCCTCCTCCTCCTCCTCCTCTCCTCCTCCTCCTCCTCCTCCTCCTCCTGTTCCCCTCCTCCTACTCCTCCTCCTCCTCCTCCTCCTCCCTCCTCCTCCCCCTCCTCTCCTCTCCTCCTCCTCCTCCTCCTCCTCCTCCTCCCTCCCTCCTCCTCCTCCTCCTCCTCCTCCTCCTCCTCCTCCTCCCCCTCCTCCTCCTCCGTGATTGCGGGCGGCCGCATCCCAAACCTCCCTTGCAGGAGGCGCCCCCCGGCCCCCTCGCTCCTCGGCGGGCGCCCGCCTCTCCGTGGCAGCTCGCGGGAGCCTCCCGTGCCATCTCGTTGGCTCCTGCGATTCGACGCTCGCCGACGCTGCATCGACGCTACATCGACGCTACATCGACGTCAGAGCGGCGCCGTCTCATCGACTCCCGGACGCGCATCCACGCGAAAGACGGAATTCAGAGGTCACGCCCAGCTCCCATGATCTGCTACCGAAGCCCTCCCACCCCCTCCCCTCCCCCCCTCCCCCTGAGCCTGTTCTTTTTGATCCCGGCAAATTCGCCTGCATGGAAGAGGGGGGGGACTTGAACCTCAAGCAAGCCGCACACGACCTGCACGTGACACGTGCGGAAACCACGCAAGTCGAAAGGCGCTTGCACGCTTCGTCTGAAGAGGGGCAAAACGGAACGGAACGGAAGACCCGAAAGGGGGAGAGCACAGCACAGAATATACCAGAAAGCGACCCGCGAGCACACGCGCGCGGCCCGCCCTGCGCCAGCCTCGGACGAACCAGCAACCATGCAGGGGGGCGCGACGCCGCGAACGCCATGCAGGCAACTTGCCCGACTCCTTTTGATACCAGCCTGGAACATACCCCTATCGCTATGCTGGGCACCTCCTCATCACGATGCCAATCTTAGGGATCCCCTTATTTTTGAGGGCGAATCCCCAAGATCGTCATCGCCCTTTGGCGTGTCCATCTCAGGGATAGGGATACGCTCGCGGCTGGTAATGCTGTTCCTGCTACCCCCTCCCCCCCCGGAGCGCCGGAGCGGGCTCCTGCTCGGCGGCGGGCGCGCCGGCCGTGTGGGAGCCCGTGTTGGCCCTCGCAGCCGGGAGCGGGGGCGCCGAGGGGGGGGGGGCGGCGAGGAGCGGGGGCCCCGGCCCTGGCACGGGGCCTCGTCTTGCCACATCGCCCGGGCGTCCCTTCCCTGTGCAGTCTTCGGTCTCGTGCGCGTCCTTGCTCGCTCGATGGTCCAGGAGGCTCCTCCAGGGTCCTCGCCGACTGAGCGATGCCAGGTCGTCTGCGGCGCGCAAAGGAAGGCAGGGGGAGGGGGGAGGGCTTCTTAGAAGTGCCCTGCTTCGTAGGAGGCCCCGGCCAACGTCTATAGAGAAGGCCAGCGCCTTCTAAGATGCCTCCCCCCCTCCCCCTGCTCCCCTCTGCGCGTGGCCGACATTGGCAGGCACGAGCTGGATCGAGTCGAGAAATCGAATCGGATCGGAAGAGGGTCGGGTCGCCAGCGAATCGTCCCGAAGCGGATCGAAAGCGGATCGCCGCGCCAGGCTCTAGCTGGCACCCGGCTGGTGCCGGTGAAACAGACCGACTCGCATGGAATCGGAATCGCGGCCCCCGCTGGCGAATCGAATGGCATCGCATCGGATCGTAGGCGGCACTGCATCGGTTCACCGATCCCCCCTCCCCACTGGCACGGCCTCGGCCCCACTGGCGCCGATGTGCTCCCCCAGACGGAGGTCCAGGCTGTTGTCTCTTCGGGCTTCGAGGGGCCTGTCCCCCACTGGGGGCGTGTGCTGGTGGGGCTGTGGTGACATGGCCAGGTGAGGAGTGGGATAGGCGAAACGATGCTGAGGAAGAGAGCGAGGAGGAGGACGAGGAGGAATATGAGGAGGAGGAGGAGGAGGAGGAGGATGAGGAGGAGCAGGAGGAGGAGGTAGAGGGGTAGGAGGAGGAGGAGGTGGAGTGGGAGAACGAGGAGGAGGAGGAGGAGGACGAGGAGGATAAAGAGGAGGAGAAAGAGGAGGAGAAGAAGGGACCCTGACACCCTCACGTCGTGGAGAACGTGGAGAAGTAACGACTGAAGAAGTCTCGCAACTGCGGCGCGTGCGTCGTCGTCGTCGCCGTCGCCGTCGCCGTCGCCGTCGCCGTCGCCGTCGCCGTCGTCGCCGTCACCGTCGCCGTCGCCGTCATCGTCGTCGTCGTCGTCGTCGTCATGCGCTCCGCGCTGGGCATCCGCGACGCAACGCCCCGCGGTGCACGGGAGCGCGGCCCAGGGGCGCGCGGCCCGCGGGGGTGTGGGCTCGCTCCTCCCGAGAGACTGCGGTAGGCCTTGAACGATCTTGACCGCCTGCATCGGCGTCAGTGGCGGCATCAGGACCAACCACCGGCGGAGCCGACGGTGAAACCGACACCAACCGAAACCGACGGGCCGAACGGCGCCCAAGGATGCAGCCAACGCCGACGGCGGCCGAACGCAACCGACTTCGACGCCCATCCAGAACACTCCGACGCCCTGATTTGTTGAAAGCCATTCAACATGGGGCCAGAGAACATGGGGTCGGAGGATCTAGCCGCATCGCCGATGCGTCGGCGATGTGGTGACGACGTCGGGATCAGGAAAACACGGGCCGGGATCGCGCCGCATCGCCGACGCATCGGCGACGCGACGCGATCCTCCGACCCCGTCTACTCTAGCCACTGCAGGTCCCGACCCCACCAAACCTGCTTTGGATTTCGAATTGTGCATTGTCGGTCCCGGAGACTGGCGGGCGCCCCGCAAACCGAAAATGGCCCAACACTTTGCATAGCATGTTCCCTCTATCCCAAATGCGGGGAAAGTGTGGTTCATGTGATGCATCCGCCTCCTCACTCACTCACTTCCGCCTTCCTCCTCCACACCTCCCTTATCAGACTTACACTCATGCACGCTCGCGCTTGCATTTACAAGCGCACTCACACTCCCTCATTCTCGGACCACGAACACTCAGGCACACTCGTACCCAGACTCACTCATGCCTAGGCTCATTCCCACTCCGACCCGCGCGTTCTCAGATTCATCCCGTCTCACACTCAATCAATACCAAGCCACTCAGAATGGGCATTACTCATCCTCCGACTCATTCATGCTCAGACCCGCTCATACCCAACTCCACTCATTCTCACACCCGCTCACACGCAGACCTACTATCAGAATGATGCTTCCTTGCACTCATCTTCAAACTTACGCAGACTCACTCCCATGCAGACTCACACACAAACACACACACACACACACTCGGACGCTCTCAGACTCACACCCACTCATAATCACGCAACCAGGCGTAGTCATCTGCAGACCAACTCATAGTCGAACTCATCCACACAATATAACTCGGACACGCTCGCCCTCAGATTTGTCTATCGGGACACACTCATAACCACTCTCATTCGTACACAGACCACCTGGAGTGGCAGGCATGGCGTCAGGGCCTCCAAAGGAGGGGACGAACAATGGGCGTTTCACGGGCCCGGTCGTGCCGTGAGCCCGGCTTGCCTGGGTACGTCCGTTTCTTGTCTTTGCCCTTAGCCCCATGACCATCGCGATGTAGCAGGCATGGAACTTGGTCAACCGAAGGGGTGCGACCAACAGCGTTACACGGGCCCGTTCGCGCTGAGATCGTGGGGATGTCTTACGCGAAACAACCGGTTTGCCAAGGTAGACACGTCTTTTGTTCCTCATAGCCCCATGACCATCGCAATGTAGAAGGTATGGCACTTGGGCCGACCAGGGGTGTGCTGTTCGAGCTCAGATTCTGGTGACCTCGCAGGCGCTGAAATTACAGGATCCCCTCAGGAATGTCCAGACGTATCCATGTACCCCGACCCATTCACATCCAAGCCCGCTCATACCCAGACGCACCGATATTCAGCCGCACATTCTTCAGCTCGACACTCACCAAGGCCCAGTTGCATCCATGTGTTCATACGCACGCCCATTCATGCTCAGCCGCTCGTCCACTGACTCGCTCACACTCGGGCTCACCTATACCCAAGCACCCAGAAAGGAACGCGCTGGAACATTGAAGCACGTGCGTGGATGGTGCAGCTTCGCGATGCGCACAGATGGCCTCCCCAGGTAGTCTCAGCTGGCCTCAGCAGGCCCCCCGAGTAGCCCAAGTCGGTCTCGACAACCCAAGGGCGCCGCCTGAGGGCCACTCGGGGGGCCTGTTCAGGTCAGCTGAAGTTCCCTGAGTGGGGGGGGCGGCAGGTGGCGGGGACTACCTGGGGGGGCGGGGCGTCTGTGCTGTGCACAACCTGAAGTCGTACCAGCTGGGAGTATCTGCGTCTCTTGACTGTCTCGCTGCGAGGGGATCTGAGACTGTTTCGCCTCCCTCGTCCGATGCGCCCCCCCCGCGGGGGAGGGCCTGCTCATCGTGGGCTCGCTCTCGAAGGTGGACCGCTCCTCTGGCGCGAACACCGCAGCCGCAGCACTAGCGCTGCAGGACACGTCGGCCTCTCGCGCGCGCTCGCTCGCACACTCAGGTGGGGAAGAGGAGGAGGAGGAGGAGGAGGAGGAGGAGGAGGAGGAGGAGGAGGAGGGGGAGGAGGAGGAGAGGAGGAGGAGGAGGAAGAGGAGGAGGAGAATAGGAGGAGGAGGGGGGAAGGAGGAGCTGGAGGGGGGGGGGAGGAGGAGGAGGAGGAGGAGGAGGAGGAGGAGGAGGAGGAGGAGGAGGAGGAGGAGGAGAGAGGAGGAGGGGGAGGGGAGGAGGAGGGGGAGTGGGGAGGGGGGGGGGGGGAGCAGGCCTCCAGAAGGGCGAGCCCCTTCCGAACCCGACCTGTTCAATAGCTCCGTGTCTACCCCCATGGCGGCCTGCGCCGGCTCTCGCTCGAGAACCCGCGCCGGCCTTCCTAGCCGCAGGGCTCGAACGCTCAGCTCCTCAGAACCACTGGGAGTTCTCGGCCAGTCCAGGAGGAGGAAGAGGAGGAGGATGAGGAGGAGGACGAGGAGGAGGAGGAGGAGGAGGAAGAGGAGGAGGAGGAGGAGGAGGAAGAGAAGGCCCTCCTCCTCCTCCTCCTCCTCCTCCTCCTCCTCCTCCTCCTCCTCCTCCTCCTCCTCCTCCTCGTTGTCCTTCTCCTCCTCTGCGCTGCGCCGCGGCCTGACAGGGCGAAGGGCGGCCTGAGTGCGGCCAGCAGGGGCAGAAGTTTCACCCTCGCTTTTTCGGCCAGATGGGCTGCGGCCCGCAGGCCGACGGGAGTTGGGACCGATGGGCCAATGTTCCACCACCACTACCATAGGTAGGAGAGGGCGGCGGAGGAGGAGGAGGAGGAGGAGGAGGAGGAGGAGGAGGAGGAGGAGGAGGAGGAGGAGGGGGGCCTCCCCATCCCCCCTTCTCCCCCGTCCTGCCCAACTGTGGCAGTGGTGGTGGAGAGTTGGCCCATCAAGGACAGCTCGTGCCGAGCTGCTTGGAGCCCTCGGGGGCCCAACCTCTCTCTCTCCTTGGAGACTCCCGTGCCGCTCCCGCGAGGCGCGGACCCCTCCGCGACCTCGCGCCGCCGCCCACGAGACGGGCTCGCGACTGCGGCACGGGCCGCGGGGCGCGAGGCGCGGCTCCTATAGTCGGAGGCTGGGCGAGGGCTGGCAGATCCGTGGCTGCCAAAACGGTGCCCCCAAAAGAAAAAAACATGTTTTTTGATTCGCGGGTCGAGAGCGCACCTCTTCCGGTCGAAGCTCAGCGGGCCGCGCGAAGCTTGAATTAACCAGAGATGGGGGGGAAAAGGGGGGCAGCAAGACAAACAAAAACAAAGATTTCTGGAATAGAGCTCAGCACGCCGAATGTCGAGCGGGCTGCTTCCCGAAGGAAACGAAAGTCCCGGAGCTCCGTTCTAGCAGCCACGGGCTTGCCAGCCTTCGCCTGGCCTCTGACCCAGGCCCCCGACGTCGTCATGTTTCTCGCAGCGTCGACCCCCAGAGAGCTGGACCCCTGCCCCAGGGAGCGGCCAAGAGGGGGGTGTCCAAGAGGGGGGGGTGCAAATCATGACCGGCGGCATGTGCACGGCCCAGCGGGGGGGGCAGGGACGTCATGAAGCAAGAAGAGGCGCCATGAAATCTGGGGAAACATCATGGCCCCCGCCATGATATTTCCCCCCCCCCAGTCATCACCCCCCTCTTTGCTGCCCCCGACCCCCCGAGGGCTGGACCCCTGCCCCGGGACGGGCTTCTCCTCCAAAAGCGTGGTCGACAGGCCCCATATAGGGGGCCCGCGGAGGCCGAAGACGACAGAAGCCAGGGCAGAAGCCCGCCGTTCCGTCTTCTCGGCGCGAGGGGGCCTGGGCACCCCTGCGGGGGACCGCCCTTTTCGGCGCCAGGGTGAGGTCGGGCCTGCCCCCCATGCAGGGGGACTTTCTGGACGAAAATGAACAAAGACAGTCAAACAATGCACTCCAAATCGTCAAAAATGATAGCACATCGTCCCCAGAGTATTTCCCTACCTAGGCTCTGCCTAGAAGGGTTCTTACTCTCTTAGCTTAAAGGGGCCGGGCAGTGCAAAGCGCCCCGGGCGGTTCCCCCAGTCCCCGCCCCGCGGTTCCCCCAGTCTCCTGGGAGCTTTAGCTTTAGCTTTAGCGTTAGCTTTAGATTTACTTTAGCTTAGCTGCAGCTTAGCTGCAGCTTAGCTTTAGCTTAGCGTTTCGCTTAGCGGTTAGCTTAGCGGTTAGCTTAGCTTTAGCTTAGCTCTAGCTTAGCTTTAGCTTAGCTGTAGCTTAGATGTAGCTTAGCTGTAGCTTAGCTTTAGCTTAGCTGTAGCTTAGCTTTAGCTTGGCTTTAGCTTAGCTTTAGCTTAGCTTTAGCTTAGCTGTAGCTTAGCTTTAGTTTAGCTGTTGCTCAGCTTTAGTTTAGCTTTAGCTTAGCTTTAGCTTAGCTTTAGCTTAGCTGTGGCTTAGCTTTAGCTTAGTTTTAGCTTAGCTTTAGCTTAGCTTTAGCTTAGCTTTAGCTTAGCGTTACTGTTACTACTAATGCTGCTTTCCTAGGGGTTCCAACTCCTAGGTGGGGTCGCACTGGGATAATTTCTAACTATTTGGGAGTTTTCTTCGCGTAGAGAGACAGGCCCGACTTCACGCCAGGGGCCTCTTTGGGACATCCACGCGCCGATGGGGACCTCCAGGGGTCCCCCGGGAGGGACCTCTGGAGACCCTCGGGGGCGGTGGCAGGACAGGGCAGCGTCGAAGGTGAGCGGGGCAGACGATCAGCATCGTACATACATACATACATGCATGCATACATACACATACATACACATGCACACATACATACGCACATACATACATACATACATACATACATACATACATACATACATACAGACAGACAGACAGACAGACAGACAGACAGACATACACACATGCATACATACACAATACTACATACCTGTATGCATACATCAATGCACACACATGCATACATGCATACATGCATACATGCATACATGCATACATGCATACATGCATGCATGCATGCATGCATGCATGCATGCATGCATACATACATACATACATGCATGCATACACACATACATACATACGTACACACATACATGAACATTAGATCTCTCTCTCTCTCGTATTGGTTTGTGTTTTTCCCTACTAGGCTCTGCCTAGAAGGGTTCTTACTCTCTTAGCTTAAAGGGGCCGGGCGGTGCTAAGCGCCCCGGGCGGTTCCCCCAGTCCCCGCCCCGCGGTTCCCCCAGTCCCCTGGGAGCTTTAGCTTTACCTTTAGCTTTAGCTTTAGCTTAGCTTTAGCTTAGCTGTAGTTTAGCTTTAGCTTAGCTGTAGCTTTAGCTTAGCTTTAGCTTAGCTTTAGCTTAGCTTTAGCTCAGCTCTCGCTTAGCTTTAGCTTAGCTGTAGCTTAGCTTTAGCTTAGCTTTAGCTTAGCGTTAGCTTAGCTTTAGCTTAGCTTTAACGTAACTTTAGCTTAGCTTTAGTCTAGATTTAGCTTAGCTTCCGCTTAGCTTCAGCTTAGCTTCAGCTTATAGTTAGCTTAGTTTTAGCTTAGCTTTAGCTTAGCTTTAGCTTAGCTTTAGATTTAGCTTAGTTTCAGCTTAGCTTCAGCTTAGCTTTAGCTTAGCTTTAGCTTAGCTTTACTGCTACTACTAATGCTGCTTTCCTAGGGGCTCCAACTCCTAGGTAGGGTCGCACTGGGATAATTGTTGTTTTCCCTCTCTCTCGCTCCCTCTATATTTCTATACATATATATATATATATATAATTATATCTATATATATATATCGATATACAACACTGCGCTGGCGCTTCACGTCATGCACCTTGGTCCTTGAAATTTGGTATGCAGGCGGAACTGCAAGAAGGTCAAGCCGTCAAGTCAGTGAGAACCTCTTGCTGCCTTCTCCGGCATAGCGGTTAGAATAATGTTGTGTGCATTCCTTGCTCCATGTTTCTGTTTCCTCATTCTCGCCATACCCTGCGTATTCTCCCCATCCTCCTCAGCTCTTTTTGCGAAGGCTCCTCCTTGGCGAGTCTCTGGGGGCCTCACACAAGCTTTTCAAGCTTTCCCAAGACCTTCTGGAGGTCTCCTGGGCGTCGTCTGGGGGCCTCTGGGGGCTTCCTCGGGCCACCCTGCCTCCAACCGCGGTCTCCCTGAACGACCGGGTCACGATTTGGAATGCTTCAGAGGGTGTCTTGGTGCCATCTTGGGCCGTCATGTGGCTCTCTTAGGCCATCTTGGAACCCTGTTGTGCCGTCTTGGGACTCTCTTGGACTGCCTGGAAACCCTTTCGCATGGTAGTGGGGCGATTTTCGAGCCTCCAAGGCGGCTTCGGACGCCCAGAAGACCGCCGTCTTGGAGCGTCGGGAACCCGAAGAGAGGAAAACCCCCAAATTCACAAAAAAAAAAAACAGAAAATCAATGATGGTTGTCTCTTGGGGCCTCCTTGGGAGTGCTCTTGGAGGCCTCTTGGGACGTTTTGGAACAATCTTTGGAGTATGACGGCTTCTTTGGGGTCGTCGTGGACCGTCTTGGAGCGTTCAGGGATCGTTTCGGAAGCGCGCCAGAACGCCTGATACTCACATGGTGGGGATAATAAGTTTCGGGGTCCAGAGAGTGTTATAAACTACTTCCGACAGGCCGCAGCATGAAGGACAGTGCGGAGGATGATGAGGAGGTTGCTGTGGTTGTTCGTGTTGTTACTGTTGGTGTTATAGTTACTGTCGTTGTTGTAGATGTTGCAGTTGTTGTTGATCATGGAAATGATGATGCTGATGCTGATGCTGATGCTGACGCTGATGATGATTGTGAGGAAGAGGGGAAGGGGTGGGAGGAGCAGATACTAGTAGCAGTAAGAGTACAAGTAGTAGTAGCAGCAGCAGCAGCAGAAGGCAGTAGTAGTATTAGTAGTAGTCGCAGTCGTAGTAGTGCGAGTAGTGATAGTAGTCGTAGTCGTAGTCGTAGTCGTAGTCGTAGTAGTAGTAGTAGTAGTAGTAGTCGTCGTCGTCGTCGTCGTCGTCGTCGTCGTCGCCGTAGTAGTAGTCGTAGTAGTAGTAGTAGTCGTAGCACTAGTAGTAGCAATAGTGGTAGTAGTAGTAGTAGTAGTCGTCGTCGTCGTCGTCGTAGTAGAAGTAGTAGTAGTAGTAGTAGTAGTAGTAGTAGTGTTATTAGTGTTAGTAGTGTTAGTAGTAGTAGTAGTAGTAGTAGTCGTCGTAGTTGCAGTCGTAGTCGTAGTCGTAGTCGTAGTAGTAGTAATAGTAGTAGTAGTAGTAGTAGTAGTAGTAGTAGTAGTGGTAGTAGTAATAGTTATAGTACTACTCGTAGTAGTAGTCGTAGTAGTAGTAGTAGTAGTAGTATTAATAATAAGA